CTTATTATTATCAATGTTGAAAACAGTTGTGCTGCTTAATATTTGGGTGGAAACTGATTTTTCAGGATTCTTTGATAAATAGAAATCTCAAAAGAACCGAATTTATTTGAAATACTAAAGACGTTTGTAATGTTACAAAAGATTTCTGTCAGTTTTGATGTAATATATCCTCACTCAAAAGTTTTAATTTATTAAAAACAACAACAGTTACGCTATCTCACCCAATCTTCCTGTTTCAGTAGGAAATACTCAACACAAGACAGAAAACATTATCAAACATTCCCTCATCAGATTCCATGGAGTCTTTAAATAACTAAACGATTCCATCAGTGATTCACTTTGGCATTCAGTGTTGGTGTTGTGTAGGAGGATTGATGTTAACGTCTGTTGTTGTATCTCTCACAGGAAAGCAAATGAAGGCCTGTTGGCGCTCAGTCAGGAGGACACCATGCCTATCTCCATACGGCAGCTAGCTTATGGTAAACATTCATCACATGCTGCTTCTAGTAGTCCAATAAACAGCCAATGTTTTGTTTAAGTGTGCGTGTCGTTGGTTTGCAGTATCAGGTCTGGGCTTTGGCTTCATGAGTGGAGCGTTCTCTGTGGTCAACATACTCTCAGATTCCTTGGGTCCGGGAACTGTCGGTATCCATGGCGACCCTCAACATTACTTCATATCCTCAGGTAATGAGATGCCAGTTAGTGTTTAAACCCAGGGAATAATATTGAGTGTCTCGAGCAATCAGCGTATGCTTTCTCTCCACAGCTTTCATGACACTGGCCATTATCTTGCTGCATATGTTCTGGGGGGTTGTTTTCTTCGAGTCGTGTGAGCGACAGAGATGGTGGGCTCTTGGAGCTGTGGTCATCAGTCATCTAGTAGTATCATGTGTAGTAAGTGAACACACATCATGCATATAAAACTATATGAATAAATGAAGATATAAATATATTGCTGTCTTAAATTACAATTTTCCTGTAAAGTAAAAAAAAACAATTGATAAATTATTATATATAATTAATATTTAATTATGTAATGTAATTATTATGCAATTTACAATATAATATTTAATATTTCAGAATAATATGATTAAATTCTTCAAATCTTCAAGCATTTATTTTGGTGATGATCTGCGCACAGAAATTTTGGAAATTGTGCAAACATTGTGTTCCCAAAATTCACATTAAACACTGCACATACAGAGATGGATTTCTCGAGAAGCAGCATTTACTGTGCAAAGCTGTATTGTTAATTGTGGCACATTTATTCATTTTAATTTGGCATTCAATTTAATTATCATCTTTTCATCAACTCACGAACCCTGTACAGTTCCCTCACGAACAGTAATCATTACTCAGAGAAGAGCAACAGACACAAGCAGCTGACTCACTCTGATCACAAGTGCACCATGTGAGACACATGTGTTACATCTTTGTATTGGTACTTTTTTTCCCCCCATACAGACATTTGTGAACCCACACTATCAAGGCAGTCTGATCCCGACCTACATCATTCTGTCTATCATGGCGGCCTGGGCGTACTTGTGTGCTGGAGGATCTTTGAGGAACCTCAAACTCTGCCTCACCTGTAAAGATAAAGACTTCTTGCTGGCCAATCACAGGCCAAGATAACCCATCAGCTACAAACAGGACTTTCTCCAAAGTCTGGCTCATTGAGCCAGTAGGCCGATGACACGGCCAGCAGCCCTGGACTCTGGGAGGCTTATGGTCTGTGTAGTCTGCATAAGAATGGTTGCTGAGTAACAGGAATTTTATGTCTGCAGATCTTGCACTTTCTGTAATTACCTCCTCTTCTGTTTTCTGTTCTGTACCTCATGTTCTGTGTGTGAAAGAGACACTGAAACCATGTCAAAGTGAGAGAGTGTGTGTGTTTTATACTAAAGAATTGTCTAGAGCTGCTTTCATATGTGATTTTCTCCTTTGTAGCAGGTTTTAAAAAAGGTCTTGTATAGGTTTGGCCTTAAATAGTTTACTCTCCCCCTTGTCAGGCATTGTCCCGCTGTATTTTGTTTAGGCTCAAATGATCTGCCACTATCCTGACATCAGCGATCAAACCCTGGAGCGTAACGTTGTGTTTTCCTTTTAATTCATCTGTCTGTAAGCTTGTCTTTTAAAAGACCCTCCTCAACTCTCGCTAGGGCAGCGGTTTAATTTTCCCAGTGGAACGTGTTTGAACTGCTTGGGCTTGAATGATAAATGTAGTGGCCACTCTTCAATAAAACCACTACTCTCTGAATCTATGCTATAAGAAACTATGAATGATTTTAAACATGTAGGTGACCACTGACCCTAGTGGTATCTGTTTTAGATGTCACTTTTATTGTACTCATATGCTTTGTTTCCTTTGGCTGTAAGGTGTATGAAATTTTGATTCACAATAAAGTAGCTTGAGCTCGAATCCATTGTAATTGGCTTGTTTTTTCATGAACATTTTGTTTTGAATACATTTTTTACAGTTTTTTTCCCCCCCCCAACGGTGTAAATATTTTCAAATAAGCAGAGGGAAAATATATATATTATATATATAAATAGAGAGCGTAAAAGCAATAATATTGTGAAATTTTACATAACTTTTCTGTTTTAATATTCTAAAATGTCATTATTCCTTTGATGGTAACGCTGAATTTTCAGCAGTCATTACTTCAATCTTCAGTGTCGCATGATCCTTTAGAAATGATTCTGAAATATGATTTACTGCTTTTAATTTAAGAATATTATGAAATATTAATATTGTATCTTGCATATTACATTACAAAATAAATA